CGGGCCCAGGGCTGTGGGCGCAGCTGCAAGGTCACAGCAAGAGCTGTGCAACTTTGCTGCGAGCCCTGTCGGGCAAGTTTCTCCGCCTGGCCCCCTGGCTCCTAGCGGTGCTCCGTTCGCTGAAGATGCGCCTCTCGCTGTGGGTGCGGCCCTCCATGTGCAGGTGCCCCTGTCTGTGGAAGCTGCGAGCCAGGGTCAGCCTCTTCGTAATTCATATGTCGGGCCCTTCCCCTTTTTCCCCTCCCCCTCCCTGAAGATCGGTTCTTGGAACACTCATGCTCTCTTTGCAGCGTTTCGCAGTCAGAGCGTCAAAGCCCCTGCTCGTTACGCACGTTTCCTCAAGTACGCAAAGCAGCTCACTGTTCTTTGTGCACAAGAGTGTCATTGTCAAGTTGCTGATGCCAATGAGCCGCAGTGTGAGCTTCGAGGTTTTGAGATCGGTCACTCGCTACTCGCTGACTCTACTCGGGAAGGGGGCGTTCTCACGTGCATCCAGCCTTCCCTCTGCAAGTCGTTCTCGTATATTGTCCATACTCCCATAGTTGAAGGGCGCATTCTGAAGTCTTACCTCCCGGGGCCCAATGGCGACCTCTGCGTCATAAACGTTCACATGCCTAATACTAGCGACCTCCTCACCATCTATGCAAGAGCACTGTGTGATATCATCGCCTCCCTCCCCTCCCCCACGGCATGCACTACTGTTCTGATAGGCGACAGGAACTTTGCGCTGCCCGCTGACGGTCGTTTGAGAGCGGACGGCACTGGATGGTCATCTGGAGATGACTCGCACACGAAGTTTTTCTTTCGGCACAGCGCACAGTGGACCGAACTGCACCAATCCGAGGACACAAGGCGGGAGGTCAGGGAGGGCACAATTGTTCACGCTGCACGTCTTGATCGTGCTTACTGCACGCTGCCGCCTGCGCTGCTGGCCGATCTCACTGTCAGAGGGGAAACACTTGGACGGCTACAGTCGAACATAGTCTCGGACCACATCCCCGTGGCTGTGGCCCTCAGCACCTTCAAGCCCCAGGGGGCCCCAAAAAAGCTCCCGAAGTGGCTGGCCCGTCACCCCCCCTTTCGGGGCATCCTCGATCCCGCGATTTCCGCCCTCTACGCCTTAGACTTGAACCCCTGGGACCGCTTGGGCCGCATCAGGAACCTGATGTTTGAAGTCGCTGAAGAGGTTCGGTCACAATTAGCGTCTCAGCCGGCGGAGACAACGGAGGCCAAGCACTTCAGAACCCTCCAGGCTCTTCGGGCATGGCGCGCTGGTGACGAGTTACGCGTGCGTCTCGCTGTTCGTTCTTATCCTGCTCTTGCCGCGCATTTTCCATCCCCTGATCTTCGTGATGCCCACATTCTCGCTCTCTGCCAGCATGCTCAGAATCTGCACATCACTTTACCCACGGAGGAAGAACGAGAGCTGGAGGCAGGTGCAGCGAATATCTCTGAGGATACCCTTGACAGTGCCCGCAAAAAGGTCAATAATCGTAAAGAACTCTGGAGGAAAATGAAGCGACGCACCTGGCCCCAGGGCACCCTCTCGGATACGGACGCACCGAGTTCCTCAGAGGCCGAAGCCGCCGACGCTCTTCTGCAGCACTGGAGGGGAGTTTTTGCAGCCCCCGAGGTGGGCACCTCGCTTTGGCCTGAGCTCTCTCGTTTCATCAAGCCGCTGTCTGTCCCTGCCAACGCCACCTTTAACGAGCTCCAGGAGGAGGGTTGGATCTTGGGAGAGATTGAGTGGGAGGATCTGATACGCCGTAAGTTGGACAGCATGCCCGGGGAGGACGGCATTCCCTACTCTGCCTGGAGGGTACCTGCCGCCAGGAACGCCCTGTATGAGTGCTACTGCCGTCTGTTCACTCACCCGACCTCGAGCACCCCCGATGACATGAAACGTGCCATCATGATTTTCCTCCCCAAGAAAATCACTGAACAGGAGATCGGCGAGGGTGTCTTTCGAAAGCCCCAGGTCACGCGACCTCCTAGTATGGCGAACACGGATTGCAAGCTTCTCTCCGCTTCCATTACATGGGTTTTATCCAAGAAAGTTGCGCTATCTAACCTGCTACGGAGTCCCCAAAAGTGTTTCAGGGGTCGGGACATGATTGTGAATGTTATTGAAGCTGAGCTGTTCATTCTTCGGAAGCATATCAAAGATCGGTACACGTCTGGTTTGGTCCTCACGGACTTCGAGTCCGCCTTCCCTTCGATCTTTGTCCCCTGGGTCCTACACGTCCTGGAGAAAATGATGGTCCCTGGTGCCGTTGCCAACTTCTTCAAGGAACTCTATGACAATAACACTGCCACGATTTCGCTGTTCGGTCGTCTATTGGACAGCTTGGCCATTGAACGAGGCGCACGCCAAGGGGACCCCAGTTCGATGCTGCTGTTCACGCTTGCGGTGGAGCCTGTACTTGCGTGGCTCGCCTGGCGCCTGCCCGACCACATTGAGCCCTCCCTAGCATATGCTGACGACTTCTGCTTTGGCATGCGGTGTCTATTCGATGGGATAGGCCCTCTCTTTGAGTGCTTACGGAGCTTGCAGCCTGCCATTGGCCTCGCCCTCAACCTCCCGAAGTGTCAGATCCTCCTCGCCTACCCCAACCTAAAGGAGCCCCTCCAGGACCTCCTCTCGGACCTAGGCCACCAGCTGGAGCTTCTAGAGATCGCCGTCTGTTTGAAACACCTTGGTGTCTGGATTGGGTTGGGGGCGGAAGAGATTACCTGGGAGGAAAACATCATCAAACTTCGGAAAAGGACGAGGGAGATTAGGGACCTTGGTTTGGGGCTCGCCCAGTCAATCGTGCTGTTTAAGGCCTACTGTGTCTCGCTGCTATACTTTATGTCGCAGGTGCACGCGCCCTCTTTCTCGCTCATCAAGACATACCAGGCCTGCGTTCGTTTGTTGACAGCAGGCCCGAATAATGCCCTATCTTATGACATGTGTTGCAACCTCACCCAGCTCGGCCTCCCCATTGAGTTCCCTCGCATCACCCTCGTCGCTGCCTCCTCCAGAGCCCGATACATCGCTAGATGCGACGAATTCCCAAGGCTGCGCCAGCTCTATGGCAGCACCTTCTCTGACGATGATTGGTGCGTAGTGAGGCGGATCATCGGTTGGAATACCACCTCGTTTGCAGCCGAGCTCTTCTCTTTCAAGGGCTGGATTGTCCAGAAAAACCTGGAGATACGTTTTGAGCGCAAGGATATTCAGAAGCAGTATCAAAAACTGTTGAAGCTTTATTTCGCTCCCGCTGACCCCCTATCCTGGCGCCCCTCAGAAGGGTGAACAACTGGATCCCTGGCACTTCCCTGGACTCCCTCTCCATCGTTCTTAGTCGTCTCAAGTCCCTGGTGACCAGGTGCAACATGTACATCCCCCTGTCCGTGATTCGTATCCTGCCACGCTGTGTTTGCACGAGCTCTCGTTTCCATTCCTCACCTCGTGGTTGCCTCATGGGATGCGTGGACTCCGAAGCCCCCGACTCCGACTTAGATGACATGAAACACTATCTTCATTGTCCTCGTCTTCATCGATTATTTCAATATTGGATGGGTTTTTGGGCTCCGAGGATTCCTGAGGGTGCGCCCTGGCTAGCCTCCTTTCTTCTGTCTCACGGGTTGGGGCCCGACGCCAGCCTCCTGGCTGCTATGCTATGCGATGCTTTTCTTAGCGCTCATACGGCTTTCCGCCTGCGCCTCCCTGGCTCGCCTCAGCAAAACTTCGAGGCGCGCTTGCGAGTGCAGGCCCGCCGCCATAAAGCCTGCCGCCAGCTCTGGGGTCGTCAACAGCTGGAGATGTGGGTGAACCCGACAACAACTTACAACGTAAAAAAAAAACAGAACCCCCATCGTACTAACCCTAACACCCTGACCCTAAGCCTGCCAGCCTAACCCTGACCCCCTAACCCGAACCCTAATCCTACCACGCGAATCCTAAACCCCTAACCCACTAACCCTAATCCGAACCCTAACCCACCCCCCCACCCACCCACAAACAAACCTACCACCCCAACCCTAAGCCCCTAACCCCCTAACCCTAGCACCCTAACCCTGACCCTACCACCCTAACCCTGACCCCCTGACACTATCCCTAGCACCCTAACCTGAACCCTACTACCCACACCCTAACTCCCTAACCTGAACCCTGACCCGAACACCCTTATCCCAGCCCTCTAACCCTAACCCGAATACCCGAACCCACCCCCCCTGGCCCGAACCCTAACCCCTAATCCTGAAGCCCTGACCATCATATCTAATCCTAACCCGAACACCTTCCCCTAATCCAAAGTTTAATCCTACCCCTACAGCCCTAACCTTACCCACGAGCCCACCCTCCTGTCCGGCGCAAGGGGTGTGTTTGGGGGGGTCCAACCCCCCCCTCCTAGAAAAGGGGTGGGGTCCGAAATATCCCCCCCCCCTCCAGCAGACGCAAAGGGGGGAGTGGCGGAGGTCTGAACCCGCCACCACCCCTTTAAGAGGGTGGGGCGAACCTCCCACCACCCCTTTGAAAGGGCCCGTTCGCCCACGACCCCTTTACAATGACGGGGGCACCCAGTGGCGCGGTTCATGTTTTTTCCCTGGACACAGTCAGACCTGTTGACCAGGCGACTTCTCTTCGGGTTGGCCGGGCGTTCTCCGCTAATGTTTTGATTGACGTCTCCTTGAAGCGGGTCAAGCTCCCCCCATGATCAACAGAGACGAACGGGGAGGAGTGCGAGGGGAAAACACCTCCTTGGTGCAATTCATCGGCCCCATTGCGCGATGTGGTTACGTGTGGACACGGTTGGGGTGCATGCGAGTGGAGTGATGCTTCAGACATCCTCTGCAGGCCCATCCAAACGCCCATCCAAACGCAGCGTGGCGTCGCACTCTGTCCAGTCTTCTCCTGGTCAATCCGCCGATTGGAGTGGGGGGCGTGTCCCCTACCCGAGTCCAACTTAAACACATCCCACCGCCGCCCCGTCCTCGTCCTGGCCCTCCGCTCGAAGGATGCTCCAGAGCGACGACGCGGTCAAGCGCTGCGTCTACGTGGCGCCCCACGCGGCCACGGCCAGGGAACGGTTCAACGAGTGGTCGCACAAGTTCGGGAAGGCCCGCTTGCCAGGGACGGGGCTGGCCCGGACGCCGAGACTTAGCGGCGCCGCGGAGTGTTGGACGGCCGTTTGTTCGCGTACCCCCCCACCCTGACAGCCACTGCCGTAAAACAGTTGCTATGGCAGGCGTTTTCGCCTTGCGCCGGGCCCAGGTGTCGGTAGCTTCCTCTGAAATCACCGAGGTTCTCTCACACGAAGTAGAGAATCAAACAGAACATAATAAGACTTAGAAAGGGAATCAAAGAGATTCGCTCGCAGTTTTGATTGACTCGGAGCCCCCTCGGTATTTGATCAATAACGGCGTCGGTGCGAACTCACGTGTGCGACAGCACACGTATATCAAACCACCATACATCATATACAGCATTGCTTTACTGCAACATTACCCCAGTGCGACCCTACCTACAAGTTGGAGCCCCTAGGAAAGCAGCAGCATTAGTTGCTATGCTATGCTATGATGCGCTATGCTATGCTATGCTATGGTATGCTGCGCTATGCTATGCTATGCTAAGCTAAGTTATGCTAAGCTATGCTATGGCATGTTGCGCTATTCTATGCTATGCTATGCTATGCTATGCTAAGCTGCGCTAGGCTATGCTATGATATGCTATGCTATGCTGTGCTTGGCTATTTTATGCTATTGCATGCTATGCTAATGCAGCGCTGCGCTATGCTAAACTAAGTTCAACTAAGCTAAGCTAACCCTCTAGGCAGAGCCTAGGTAGGGAATTACACCCATGCTATGCTGCGCTATGCTGTGCTACGGTATGCTATGCTATGCTGTGCTCTGCTATGCTAAAGCTCAGCGACGCTAACATGCAGGTAAGCTAAGCTAAGATAAACCTGAGCTAAGATGAAGCTAAGCTAAGCTAACATGAAATAAGCTCAGATAAGATGATATAAGCAACGCTAAGCTAAGGGGACGCAACTGGGGGAACCGCGGGGCGGATCCTGGGGGAACCGCCCGGGGCGCGTTCCACTGCCCGGCCCTTTAAGCTCTAAAGTAGGAACTTTTCTAGGCAGAGCCTAGGTAGGGAACATAATCATGATAAGTAAAACTGCATTGGCATGGGTTCTGTGCCATTGACACAGGGGGGAAATAGGGAAGCATTTTGGCCCTTCTCCCAAAGAATATGAAACGTGCTCGCATCCATGCCGTCAAATCTCACCAGGAATAATCTTCCATCCTCAATCTGATTATTTTTTCCAGCCTCAAACTCGGCACTCAATGATGCCGTCTGTTCAAACTCTCGCAAAGATTCAAACCTCGGCGTGGTCAGGTCACGCCTGTACGTGCACTGGCTCTGGGTGCTGGCCGTCCGCACAAGCTTCTTGTTGTCCGGCTCTCTCTCTCTCTCTCGTCGTTCGCACTATGCTCCATCGTCGCTGTGTCGGCCTTCTGCTCGGCCATCGTACGTGCATCTCGATGCATACGCACCTCGTCCATCAGCTTCTGCTCTGTCTTGTATTTGAGCCAGCACGTAGCCGCCAGTGCGCATCCACAACACAATATAATGGCCATCATAAGAACAAGCAACGAAACCAGTACCCATGGAAGCTCTGTCTCGACCTTCTCGATCTTCTCGCCTTTGACACATTTCGTAGCCGCCGCAGCCACAATATGTGCAATCCTCTTTGCCGTACGGGTACCGCCAATCGTCGCACGTACATGCTCTCTCAGCTAGTCCTCATGCTCGTCGCCGTCGTTGCTTTCTGCGTCTTCAGCCTGATTCGCCTCATCGAAATCTGCTGCCGCTTCTTCCAGCTCTCTCTCTCTCGGCTTGAGCTCGTTCTTTCTGATTAACTTTCTTGCGAGCCGCAAACGTCGCGTCGCACTTGGGTGCGTGCGTCATTTTTCTCAGCTTCTCCACGAACTGCTGCCTCACATGTAGCTTCGTTAGACCGTTCGCCATTTGCTGATGCGTGTTGGTCCATATCCATACACCTCCGAACTCCCGCATCTTCTCGTTGACCTGCAAGATCTCGATCCCGGTCCTGCGCTCCATCAAGCTTCCGGCTTCCGCCTGAGAGTTCGCCGCGTCGTACAGTTGCCGACTGACTTCCTTCGGTGTGCACGGGTCGTTTGGATGTGTTTTTTTTTTTTGTCTTCTCGACGCTAATTGGTTTCACCTTGTGTATATATGCCTCGGCCTTCACCTCAATCTCACCACGTGAAAACGACTGCGTGCTCTCCATGCCGCAGAAATGTTTTTTGTTCGAGAGCTCCCATGTGCCGATTTTGAACCTCTGGTTGAGCCTCTGCACCCTGTCCAAGAAGGTGCCTTCGTACGCCTGCTTGTTGTAGAGGTCCTTTTCGCGCTCGAAGTCCTCGCCGCCGCCGATGAAGTCGTCCACGTGCAGCCCGAGCACGCCGTCCAACACATAGTGCTGGTCGTTGTCTACCTGCCAGATCAAAAACGGATCGTCCCCGTCGGGCGCAAGGCGGTACGTCGTCCTGCAGGCCCATCATCTTCTCCAGTCGACGTCGTATGTCCTTGGTCGGCCTGCCGAAAATCCGAACTCCTTGCTTCCTGCTGTCTTTCGCCTGAAGGGATGCATTTTTCACGTCCGCTGCCATCGTATTCCAAGCTTGCTGGCTCAGAATGAGCAGGATAAGGAACCTCGTGAGTCGCGTGAGAGTATGGCTCGCTTCCTCCACGCTAGTGCTGGTCAGCTCTTCCAGGTGTATATATATATATATAAATATATGTACACTGCATAAGCGACACCATAATTATGTGGTGGACGCTCTCGTCCTGATAATAACTTCCATTCACTGAGACATTACAGTAACCACCAGAAGATGGAGTAGCAGTGGCCAGCCTTGAAGAGATCGATATCAGAAAAAAACGACAGCATGCACATTTCACATCAAGAAATAATGCCCCTGATGCGGACATGATCAAGATCAATCGACAGCATTCAACACAACTCTGCACAAGACAATCCACACGGGGTAATCAACCCATAGGTGTGGGATCTGTAAGAATATCTTCGAGGCCGCCCTGCAGGATGGAAATAGCCACAGAACATACTGCAGTCATCATCCTCGCGCGGTCCTGGTACGTCTCGGACATGTCGTAAGTGATCCACCTTGTCTTTGCTGTCACTTTGGGTATCGAAGTCCAGGAGGCCGGAGACAGGGAATACTTCATTGTAGCTTCTTCTCGTTCATGACGGTACCTCGGGCACTCTGTAGTGAAGTGGCCGAAGGAGGGGAGGGGCTTGTTGCAATGTCTGCACGGGAACCCCGCCCTCCTCCTCGTTTCGGATGACACCGCTCCATTTCGAAACATGTTCAGTAGAGCCTGGTCGTCATCGTTCAGCTTCTGTGTCCACTTGGTGAATATCTTGCTGGAAGGAAACTCAGGGTCGATTTGTTTTGTGAAATACCCTCCGCGCCCCATCTTTTGTCATTGACTTGCTGTGGGCAACGAGTCCTGGCCACCACACGAAGTGCGTGGAGGGCCTTGTCGCTGCCCGTCCAGAAGCGCCAGTAGTCGTCCACCAACTGCTCCGTGGCTTTGTGTATCCGATGATCATCGTGTGGATCAGCTTCGAGTTGGACTCCCCGCTGGGGTGACCATCTGATGCAATCCCAAGGCGGACGCATGCTGCTCCATGGCCGTGTCCAAATATCCAGACCAGACAATCTTGGGATCTCGGGCTTCGGTTGGCCCCATGATCGAGGCGGACAACACAGGATGCACATCAATGAACTCTTCGGTAGTGGCCGTAAACCGCCGTTGCTGCGCTGCTTCGCCGCCGCCGGAGGGGTGGCCCGAGCCGCCCAGCGCGTGCTCGGACCTGTTGTCCGCGCTCCCGGAGGCCCGCGCGACGTTGCTCCGCGCGCGCGGACTGTTCGCCGCCCTTCGGCTGCCGCGGCCAGCGGCGAAGGAGGAGCTCGCCGCGCGCTGGTTCCCGGCCCCGCCCGACGAGACACGCGCAGACCTGCGTTGGCACGCGGATGGGTCGATGAGATTCGGCCCGATATGGGAGCTCCGGCGCGCGGGATGCGGCGCCATGGTCGTCTGGCTGCGGCGACCAAGTCACGCGCGTTTGCGCCGCGCCCCCCACTTGGGTCCGCGACGCGGCAGCCGCGGAGCTGTGGGCGGTGGCGCTCGTGCTCTCCATCGCTGTCGCGCCGCCCAGCATCCGCGCGGACTGCCGGACAATCCTGACTACTGCAGCGGCCGGCGCGGCCCAGGCGACCCGGCCCACGCGCATGCTCGCGCCGCTGTGGCCCCGCGTGTCCGCGCTCTTGGACGGCGAGCTTCTTGGGTGGCCGAGGGGCTCGCTTGGATGCCGGCGCACGGCTCCGTTGCCAGCGTCGGCGCGGCCAGGAGGTCCGACGGGCATGTCGTGACCGCGGTTGACCGGCGCGCGAATCGCCTGGCCAACGCTGCTGCCAAGGCGGCTGCGGGCAGCCCGCCGCATTGCGCGGCGGGCACGCAGTTTTCCGGGCAGGCAGAGAGTCGCGTGGCGCATGAGGTCGCCCGCGCCGCGAACAACCACGTTCGCGAGCTGGTCGGGCCTGGCGGCGCCGCCCGCCGCGTCGCGGCGCGCGACGCGGCCGCCGCGCGGCGCCCGCGGCTTTGGCTCGCGCTGGTGCCCCGCCGCAGCTCGCGCCGCTGGCGCCGCGGATGCCCGCGGGGGGGGCGCCGCCCCCGCCCGCCGCGCCGCCGCCCGCCGCGGCTGCCGCCGCTGGCCGTTCACGCGCGCCGGGGGCACGGCGCGCGGCGCAAGCCGCGGCAGCCCGCGCTGCTTCTGCTGCGCGCGCGGCCGCTGCCGACGCGGCCACGGGGCCGTCTGCGAGGCGCGGGCGGCCGCGGCGCGGCCGTCGTCGGCGCCGCCAGTGGCCGAGCGGCTGGCCGCTCTGCGGGCGCGCGGTCTCGCCCGCGTCGGCCAGGGCGCCCCGGCGCAGCCCCGCTCTGCTGGGCTGCTGCGGGCGCCAGCCCCGAAGGGGTTCCGAGAGCTTGCGCGGCGTCGGGCTGAGCC